AGTGTGTGTGTGTGTGTGTGTGTGTGTGTGTGTGTGTGTATGTGTGTGTGTGTGCACATGTGGACAATGCAACTGTAGATGTTAAATGACAATCTCAGGGAAATGATTTCCTCTTTCCACTACAAGGGTCCCAGAAATTAAATTTAGGTCATCAGGTTTGTTGCAGGCATTTTAACCCTTTAAAGCATCTTGTTGGCCCACAAGGCTGGCTTTATTTTTTTCCCATCTGCAAAAATGTGTTAATGGGTTACAATGTGTGACATGTTTTGGTTAGAAAATTAACTATTTGGTTATTTAAAACCATTCACCAATTTGCAGTATTAAAATTTCATATCATATAACAAAATGAAAGTAGATTTTTAAGTTACAGACTTTAAATGAGCTGGTAGGGAACTATATCAGCAGCTGGGCTTCAGCTTTAGAGCTAGGGATGTTCAAACCCAGCTTTAACTCATGTTAAATTAGAGCAACAAAACAAAAAGCTGCCTGTAATCAAAACTCAACATCAATAGTTATTCAGTGTCTGTTTTCTCAACATAAAGCATTTTCTTAGATTTCTACAATGGCAAAGACCTTGTTATGATTTCAATTGTCATCATCATTTCATGTTAGTGTTTTTAATATGTCATTTATTTTTATGTGTTCTACCTGCATGTAAGTGCAGTTCATGGATGCCTGGTACCCTCAAGAGGTCACAGGAGGGCACTGGATCCCCTGGAAATGGAGTTATTTGCAGTTGCAAGGCATCTTGTGGGCAGCAGAACCTGTGTTCTCTCAACAGCAGCGAGTGCTTGTGAGTGCTGAGACACGGCTCCTCCTATCAGTTTCTTACCACATGTGTTGTGTAGCTTCTTGCAGAATGCACGGAACGACTTCAACTCACCAGAGCAGCTTCCAAAATCTACACCAGAGATGGAACTACCATCCTCACCTTGCATGACTTGGTTCTGTGGGCTATAGGTGAAAAACTTACCCCAAGACAACCTAAGGGGCAAGAGAAAAGCACGGAGTCTGTTGGGACAGAAGACATAGCTGTTCAAAATACAGAAGGTTGGTTAACATCTACAGAAATAAGTTGGTTTTATCTATGCTCCACTATGAAAGATTAAATTTGATTCATTTAGTCACCACAGCAAGAATTTCAAAATTATAGCCAGCAACTTTGGTAAATGGTTCAAAGAGTATCAATGAGATTCTCAATGGTGTCCTTACCTTTCTGAATAAGTAAAAAGAAGAAAGAATTTATATTCCAGTTTTAGAGCTGAAAAGATAAATCAATTCAAAAAATTAATAATAGTAGTCAATTTAACTACTTTGTAAAGCACTAACACTTTTTGTTCTAAAACTCAGAACCCAAACTGACTGGGAGCACTGAAGAAACTGTTGCTAGATCAGTGTGGATCTCTTTCTACCACTGAAGGGAGGGGCTCCCTGAGTGCATTTTTCCTACCCTCTGCTTTCCCTCCCTGACTTTGCTGCTCCCACTGCTTCTATGAAACTCCAGAAGCTCAAGTGAATGTCTCTCTTGCTGCTCTTAGAACATCACATCATGACTGTCTGCCCACATCTTTCTATGTCCCATAGTATCTACAGTTTAAGGGAGGGAACTATGCCATGAACAATGCTTTGTAAAACAGAAGTCAATGTTGCCAGTTGTGATACATAAGTGTACTCCCAGTGTGAGATTTCCTACTCCTGTCTTGAATGCCAGCTTTGGTTGATTTCTTAGTTCAGGTTTCCATTACTGTAAAGAGATGCCATGACCAAGGCAACTCTTATAAAGGACACTTAACTGGGGGTGGCTTACTGGTTCTGAGGTTGAGTCCATTGTCATCAAGGTGGGAGTGTGGCATACATGGTGCCAGAGGAATTGAAAGTTTTACATCTTGGTCCAAAGGCAAATAGGAGAAGACTAGCTCCCACTTGACTAGGAGGAGGGTCTCAAAGTCCATCCTCACAAGGACACACTTCCTTTAACTAGGCCACACATCCTAATAGTGCCACACCTTGGGCCAAGCAGATACAAACTACCACAGTCTGGGAGTCAGAATGCCAGGTTTCAAATCTCAGATCTGCCAGTTGCAGCTGAATGACACTGGGCAAGTTCTGAAACCCATTTTCACCCCAGTTCTCCCGTTTGAAACTGGGTATATGTATAATCACTCTCCTTCCAGAATTTTCATGAGAAGCAAATGAATATAATGTTGATACAAAAACCATAGAAAATTTTATATTAAAGAGAGTAAAAGATAGTTGGTTATAGAGCCATTTTGAGTAACCATAGCTAGGGTACCAGATCTAGGTTACCCCAAACTCTCCATGTTCCAAGATGGAAGCAGTTTTATAGTTTCACAAAACAAAGAAAGTCATAAATCAATGCAAATTTAGAAATACATTGATGGTTACATGACAGAGGAGGTTGAAATGGAGGAAACCCTTTCATGAGCAAGCCCAGGACTTTATCTCATAACATTCTTAGGCTTTGGATGGGAGGGAGCTAGTGGCCTGAGTCTGTTAACAGATTTTAAAATGTTTTTATCTACTGATCACAGGATGTTAGTTCAGACACAGAATTAAGTGTGTAAAGGGATAACATCTGAAATGTAAATACAATATCCAATAAAAAAAAGAAAAGAAACAATGATTTGAATCGTGAATGCCTGGATGACTTTCAAAGCGTGCAGCTCTGCCTCACCTTAGTCTTTAAAGGATCTTCATCTCAAACATGCTTCTTTCAAATGCTGCTTTCAAATCTTCTTGGAAGGACAGAGTAATGCCTCTCATCACAACTATCAGAAGAGTGTCATTTTGATGGCATCCCTCCTTCTCCCATATTTCAGAACATATCGTTGAGCAAGACAGGGCCATTCATGGACTGCTCCTGTATGACGTTGAGTGTTGGTATTATGTCATTAATTTCTAGAGAAGACCTTTAAATAAATTGCTGCTGAAATTCAGAAAGAACACAGATGCTAAAATCACCTAGCTCTGCCTCAGCCTAACTATGTCACTAAGCCTCACATATTTTAGTCACTTTTTAAGACATTTTTCTGAAGAGAACACCTCCAGTAGATAGACATGGCCCTCAGCTGAGCAATGGGCCACCCACCTATCTCAAACTTTTTGCCTCAGAATTGTTCCTGTTTAAAGGATATGCAGGAGCAAAAACAGATCAGATACTGAAGGAAAGGATACCCGGAGACCACCCCAACTTGGTATCTATCCGATGAGCAGGCACCAAACCCCGACACTATTGCTGATGTCATGCTGTGCTCGAGGGCAAGAGCCTGGCATGACTGTCCTCTGAGAGGCTCAACCAGCAGTTGACTCAAACAAATGCAGATACTTATAGTCATTGGACTGAGGTCAGGGAACCCCATGGAAGAGTTGGGAGAAGGACTGAAGGGACTGAAGGGAATTACAACCCCATAGGGAGAACAATAGTGTCAACTAACTGGGTCCCTCAGAGCTCACAGGGACTAAACCACCAACCAAAGAGCATATATGAGTTGGTCCATGGACCCTGCTACATATATAGCAGAGGACTGCCTTATCTGGCATCAATAAGAGGGGATGCACTTGGTCCTGTGGAGGCTTGATGCACCAGAAAAATGGGATGCTAGAAGGGTAAGGTGGGAGTGGTGGGTGGTTGGGTGGAAAGCACCCTCTTGGAGGTGAAAGCGGTGAGATGGGGGCACTTGGAGGGGGACTGGGAAAGGAGACAACATTTGGAAGTAAATAAATAAAATAATTAATAAAAGAATTATTTCATTTCTTAAAGTGTTTGATGGGATATCCAATTCTTTGGTTGTCTTTGAAATTTCTGACTAAATGTGTGCATTGGCTCCAGTTTGAGTAATAATTATGAAAAAACTAATTCATAAAGCATATTCATTCATTATTAACTGACAAGAGTAAATGTGCCCCTTGTTTCCCAGAAAGCTCAAGAATGACAATGGAGAGCAGACTGGGTTTTGTGGAGGGCATAGATAAGTCCCTGCTTGCTCATGTCCTCAGAAGCCCTGTTGCCGTTTGGGTGTCTTGTGGTGAGCCGTTTCTGCCTCTAAATGGTAAAGTATTTGGTTTTGCTTCCTTGTAAACAGTGGGCAGAGAGAGGGAGAAATACATTTTATGTCATGAGAAAATGAATTAAGTGTGTATAATGTCACCATAATAATATCGTATTTATGCAGAGAGCCAATCGGTCAATTAATACATGTGCAAAAATAGCTGTATGCATCTATTTGCACCATTGCTTGTTTTTCTCTTACTGGAATGGAGCACTCTGCACGGAGAAGTGTCTAATTTAGTTGATAAAGAGATGCTCGGTGTATAAGGCAGAGAATAATGGTATCCATTAGAAAATAACAAATGAGTTTAATTCACACTGAGGACGACCTGTCTGCACATTTTCATTTTTAAGAATTGCACCCTTTAGGCAGTAGGTGGATGTTTAAAAAAATGAATGGTCCCAAGCCAGGCTTTCATCACCGCCAAACAGTTGGTGGAAGCAGGAAATGAAATATGGCTATTGCATATGGTAAATCTATACAATAAAGTAGTTTTGATCTCAGTCCTGGACCGCCTCTTTCCATATAGAAATGCCCTAAGCCCTCTCATCTTTCAAATGAAGTTTCTTTTAACAGTCCTTACCTCTTTTAATTACATCTTTCTAATTCAATCTGTCTTTTAGAGCAGAAAGTTCTTTGTAACTTATTGGTGCCTATGATAAATTACTTTTGATAACAGAGCACTATGCAAAACATTAATTTTTTATTGTAGCTCCATGGAAATCAGAAAAAATAAAGAAACAAAACTGGCTGAAGAGGGACAAAATTTTGGCTGATTTGGACACCATGAAACACAAGATGCGACAGTTGAAAGGTCAGTATGGCTGAAGCTGGTCATTTTGGTTAATTCCAAATGTAGCAACAGCTACCAATAATTATTTTCTGCTTTCTACCAAAATAGGCAGCCAGTACATGCTGTGTAAACAGTATGCTATGTAAATTTGAACAAGGTATAAAATCTAATAGCATAGCCATTTAGTACTAATTTTGTATCTGTAAATTTTGTATTAAAAGGAATACTCCATGACTTAAACATACACTAAAAAGAAAAAAATTAGATGTTGTCTCTCCATGCCTTTGAAATACTCCTTTAACTGACACAGTAGAGACCTTAGAAATAAATAAAGTAGGACCTATGGATTTAAACAAAGTCTTTTGGTTATTCTTTGGTATTTTATTGATGGGGAGTAGAGTTTATTTATGGGACATTTTTCATTTCAGTAGTTAGGACAGAGCAGTACTAAAGTCTTCAAGGTCAAGGTCAGTGAGCCAAGGACTCATCTTAATTCACCATAAGATACACTTTTCATAATAAAAGCAAACAGTGGGCATTGTGTGTCCTCTTGCATTGTTCTCACAGAATATTAGGTTCCTGACTATTATACTATTCCAAGCATTTGAGATGCAGATGATTTCTCGGAGAGAATCACTGGCCTGTGGACTTGAGTCGGGGAAGGAGTGCATTTCAATCTTTGCAATCAGTGTCTCAGAATTTTATCTTCTGATTATAAACACCATCTTTTGTCTGAAGTTTATGAACCTTGCTTCAACCACAGCACACATGGTTCTCAATGTAAAAGGCAACTCTGGCTGTGGAACAGTCGATGTCTGTTCTTTGTCCACTCCGTGTCCAGTGTCATTCCAAGAACTGACACCAGCTGTGAGAGAAAGCACTGAAGACTACTTGAGATGTCTGTTCCCCATACTACTAGACATTGTCACTTGAGTGTTCCAGGAACAAGTCCAAACTAGAGCTGTCACGTCACTCCAGTGCCAATGCATCTTTTTCTCCTCAATCTGTGGAGACAGCGTCTATCTCCACCATCCACCCAGACATTCTCTCACAGGAACCTGCAAATAGTTCTTGTTATCACACCCCTTTCCTTCCCCAAGCGAATCTTTAGAAAGTCCTGTTACCTTTTTCGTTGATCTTCTAATGGATTCCAGCTTCTTTAAGTCTGTGTTGCTTAGTGTTTGTCAATTTGACAAAAAATAGAGTCACCTGGGAAGAAGGAACCTCAATGGAGGGTTGCTTCCATCAGATTGGCCTGTGGGTATATCTTGGGGCACTTCCTTGATTAGTGGCTGATACATGATGGCCTGGCCCACTTTAGGCTGTGTCACTCAGGGCAGCTGTTCCTGAACTTTATAATAATGCTGAACAAGCCAGGGGAAGCAAGCCAGCAATTCTCCATGGACACTGTTTCAGCCTTCTGCCTTGAGTTCTTGCCTTGGTTTCCCTCTATGATAAGACTATAACCTACAAGCCATATAACCCTCTCCTCTCCAAGTTGCTTCTGGTTGGTGTTTTATCTAGTTAGCATCTAGAGAATTTAACTAGAAGAGTTTCCACTGTCTTTATCCAAATTCAAGCACATCATCTATTGATTGTGTTAGTAGAACAGTTCCTAACTGGTCTACCTGCTTCAAGTCTCGCCAGCATCCATTTGATGGTCACCAGCTTTTGTTTATTTCCTCCCTCCCCCAAATTGGGTCGCTTTATTCACTCACAGTTGTGGAACTAATAACAATTCTGAGCACCAACTCACCAGTGAAGATGATTTTCATTCCTGGTCAAGAATATAAGAAATGGAAGATAAAACTCAAATAAATTCTTAACCTTTGAAAGTTGGAAAGTGTCAGATATAGAGTAAAATAAACAAAGGGGGAAGGGAGAAGTGGTAGGGAGAGGAGCTCCTGATAGGAAATAGCCATAACTTTTGGGGAAAAGAGCAGACACTTCCGGGATCTCAGGCCCCACTTCTCTTTCCACCTCCTATGATTCCTTCAGATTGTCAGCACAGCAGCTATCAACTGCACTGGCACAAGAAGGGTGTCTTATACCATGCAGATGGGATTATAATAGTCAGAGGCTGCCTAGAGGGAGCACTCTGGCAGCCAGCAATTTCAATAAGCCTGGATTACAGCTATACATACAATCCTCAAAGATAGCTAAGATCATGGTAGGTCAACAATTGACCCACCCTCTCAGTACTCAGGTAAGGTGAGCAAGGCTGAGACTCTGGAACTGAATTGATCCTCTAAAAATACAAAGGTGTGAACATAGCCCAGTATAAGATCTGTGAGGTTCCCTAGCATCCTTAATAAGGCTGGTACTTCTCAATACAGACCTTCACGCTCTCCCTTTCTGTAATGGCTCATGTCTCCTTGCTTGACACACCCTTTCGAATTTTCTTTTAGAACCCTAGGCTTAGCATGTGCTTTAAAAATTCTGGGCTCTTGAGAAAATTTAATTCCTTCTTTCAGGCTTTCTCCCTCTTACCCTCTTGGATCCTCCCTCGTTGTTGATTCCTTGTTCTTTCTCAGGGGTTTCTCCTTCCCCATGTGTTCTACTTCTGACATAAAGCAGTTTGTTACATCTTGAACTCCCTCCCCCATAGCCCTCAAGATATTATTTTAATTACCTGTTCATGGGACTTTCCCCTTTAGGTGAGAAATGTTACACCATTCTAATATGTTCCTGACTAGTTGTAGAATGATTGAAAGGGAAAAAAATGAATGAAATTTCAGTCCATTCACTTCAGGGAATTTTCCAAGCCTCATTTCTTTATTGACTTAAATCAGTAGAAAGCAACATACTGAAAACAGCATCTGGCATAATTGCTTTTGCTGAATCCTGGTTTTATATTCTGTCTTTAGCTTTTGCTATAATTTGCAAAAAAGACATTTAAATGTAACTTGGTATCATCCGTTGCACCAACACAGAAGCAGTCTGTATTTGGTTAGTGAATGTTCATTGTGGAGTTACTCACAGAAGGATGTTCTCTTCAGAGTTGATGCTAATTCTTGTCTCCACCTAAAAATCAGTGTGTGTGTGTGTGTGTGTGTGCTGCTTTTACACATAAGTTAATACATAATTATGTTTTATTCTGATGAAAGCCCTATACTACTTGTGAGAATTATCAGCATAAATCGTAGCCAAGTCTTGGCTAGGAAAACTGCAATTCCTATTTACTAGAGTTCTTGTCCTTGCTGTCACTTTCTCTCTCTCTCTCTTTCTCTCTCTCTCTCTCTCTCTCTCTCTCTCTCTCTCTCTCTCTCACACACACACACACACACACACACACACACACACAGAGACAGAGAGACAGAGAGGATAGTCTCTAAATCATGATCCCCTTGACTCCTACATTCTGAGATTATAGCCATCTACCTCTGCTTACTTCTATCCATCTTCAGGGTTAACTGAAACAGGAATCTGTTTCTGACGGACTATTCCTCATTATTACAGCCATTGATCATTGTAGAGTGTACTATGTAAAAAACAAAACAAACAAACAAAAAACTATTGAATTAAGCTGATTTACTTCGTTTGTAAGCATGATCAGTGCTATTAATAACAGTAATTATTTTGCAACCATTTTGTGTCATGTAGCTAATATCAAATAGTTATTAACCCACAATAGATAATAAATATTGTTACCTGGGTCCTAGAGAAGACAGTTTATTTCCTAATTTGACTTTTGAAAACTAATTAAACTCTACATTAAATATTAGACCAAAGTATCACTGTTGCTACACATGACCCAGTAGATGTGCTTATCAGAATCCCTCCCAGAATCAGATATTGTAAATGGTGTGTGTCTGAATAAGGGAGTAGAATGAGGAGAAGTGAGGGGAAGGGCAACACAAAATAACAGCAAGGCACTCATGCTCTCCAACTAGTTTGGAAGAGGAAACTGGAACAGGAATCCTCAACATGTTTGCCCAACTTCCACTAGGAGAAGCTGTCTGCCATCACCAGGCTCCACTCACTTGAAATGAAGTATTGGGAGCATGGAAGAGGCCTGTCTCCAATAGCAAACTTATGGCTATCCCCCAATACCATGTAAAATAAAGCAAAATATATGGGAACTAGAACAAGAAAATAAAGTATTTTATACACAACCCCTTTGCTTGGTTTCAGGTTGTTATTCTTGTATATGTGAATTATGATATATTATGAAAGTCTGTCCTCTGGCTAAAACCTTTTGTGCATTTTCGTGAACATTGTGCTGCAAATGCATTTTTTCCTAGGACCTCTAGAAGCAAGATGTCAGAAATAAATGCCAAATAATCTATTTCCTTGATTCCAGCTTTCAGCTTCCGGCCCTCAGCTCTCTCTGTAAATGATGTTATTGCTGAACTCTGTTTATCTGAACAAAATGTAAATGTCTAAGGTGCATTGTAAATATAGCTGCTGGGGCAATATGTGTTTCACAAATTAATATTGTCTACACAGAGTGAATAAAATTGGGCAAAAACTACATTTTTTATGGATTTGTGTTGAGCAAGACTACAGTGGTCCACACCACTTTGCCTAGAGATGCTGTCACTGTCCCTTACTGACCGATTGATCCAGTCATGCTTTTCACATCCATAAATGGCACATGGGATGTTAGTGGGCATGGTGTACTCTGGTTTACCAAAGACTTCGTTACAGGAACTTATTATTCTTGCTGGATCTTCTCATAGATTTTACTTGTGTTTATCACCTCCATTAATCCTGAATTATGTTTAGAGTTTTGTTTGTAGCCATCATTGAGAATCTTCAAATCAACAGGGTCTTGGAAACAAAGTTGAGACTGTACTTCATTTCATAGCTCTCATTTATCCACCAGAGTGTGGCCTCCTCAAACCCTCTTGCCGCAGCTCGAGCCAGCAGTGCCTGCTAGTTTCCCCTTTCTTAGTTTATTTTTTATATGTTGGGAATCAAATCCCTAGCCTTGAGTATGTGCCATAAGCATGCAATAAGGCTGTGCCCTCAATCATTTTTTATTTAATTTTTGAAACTTTGAGACAAAGGCTTCCTAAAATTGCTCTAGCTAGCCTTGCATTTGCTCAGACAGGCTTCAAACCAGCCCTCCTTCTGCCTCATCTTTCATGGAAGCTTCAGTTTCTATTATTTATATACTGTTCTGCACAGTCACAGTTTATAGATATAATTGTTTTCTTGTCATTTGCCTTCCCTCTTGAGTTTGAAACATAGGTTCACTGAAACATATGGCCCAAAATACACAGCACAAAACATGGCTTGTGTGCTTCAGCTCAGAAAGAGAAAACAGTATCATATAAATGTGACTCTGTGAGTATTTTACAAGGATTCAAAGTGGTCTACTTGAAGGAATACAAACGATTGAGTCACCACATTTAATAAATTCTCCTGCAGTTCCTCAGAATACAGTGTTCCAATAAATAGTTTCTCTCATTCAAGCCTTTTAAACAGCAAGAGGGCTCAGCAGAGGCATCAGAAGTGAACTGTGCTCATGGGGTATTATTAGATAGAAAAAGGGGGGCTCCCGTCTCTTCTGTTAATATTATTTTAGAAATACTTAATCCCCAGGCTGTGAAGCTAATTGTGGGGGAAGGCTTGTTATTAGTGCAAAGAACAAAACATATGTTCCGAGACTGGGAGATATGATAGGAAGGAAGTAAGGTCATGAATTCTATTTGACTAAATTACTGCTGAAGCAGATCGCAGATGCTGTGCGAGGGCCAGGTGGAAGTCAGCACGCTGTCATCCTCTTCCATCTGTAGAGTCCAGACCATTTAAAGACCCATGCTTTAATATTGTTAAATATTATCACCTTTAGACAGCTTGGCTTCTAGGATATTTTTAGTATTTTAGCCCATGTTCCTGATCATAGGTAGAAAAATGTATGCATCGAAAGTCAACCCAATTCCTCTGAAGCTTGAAAGCCTATCCTTAGAAACATCATCTCTTGGGACTCCTTTCCAGGACGGCGAGTAGCAGCATGTCAGCCAGCCACTATGGTTCCCACCCAAAGCCCTCTGCAGCCAGTGGTGGTTCAAGGAGGATGGACTGAGCAGACTCAAGAGGAAATGAAGCTCATGGAACTAATAAGACAGACAGAGGTACATTCCCTGGGATCCTAGACTTTAAAGATCCTGCCCCTTTTAGCAGCATTTAAAAGTATTGTGTTGAATTTTTAAATCATGCTATTAATATGCTCTCGGCAACTGAGCAGTTATGACCACCATAAGCATATGCCAAGCACTGAATTGGCATTTGGAGAGTAGGTATCCTGGAGACAGCCAACTCACATGAACGTCTGTTTTGTTTGAATGGAGACCAGAAATTACGACCTTAGCAAAGAGGAGAAAAAGGCCCAGTGGATATGTACAAAGGTAATTACACTAAGTGTAGTCAAGTTGAACCTTATGGCTTCATCACTCATGGTTCCTGAGGGTACGACACAATATGTAAAAAGAGCAAGGAGCACAAAACTGATTACAATGGAGACATTCAAAGGAAAGAAGATGAAAAAGTGGTTTCGGCCAATTGGTTAATCAGTCAAGATTGCTAGGCGTAAGAAAGTTGAGAAGAGAAAGGTCAGCTGTTAAAACAGGACTAGGGATAGAGACTAGGAGAAAAACTGTATGCTTTATGAATTTTTTTATCAAGCTATATGTTACTATTTTAATGGGGCTTTGTGATGTGTGTTCAATGCAAATTTTAAATGTATGTCTAAGTCAAGGTGACTGGAATGAAGAACTTAGCATTGCTAGAGACTTGAAACCTAGCCAAGCTAAGAAGGATAAATCCGAAGTCAGGGAGTGAGTAACCAAGCATTGAGCTAGGATATGCTTGAGGTAGCATAAGAAGCTGCCAGGCGAGGACTTGGCAAAGCAGAAGGGTGGCAGCTGCATTTCAGAAACTAGTGAGCTAGGACGCGATCACACAGTCGCCTAAGCATCGCTTAGCTAACGGAAATGAAGCACTGCTTCTAAATCAAAAGCTCACTTGCTAGTTGCAAAGACATCTATCTCCTGTAGGAGGAACACCACACACATGTCCAGAAGCAACTTTCTCAACATTGCAAATGAGTTAAGTGCTTTGTCAACGTGAATCTATCCATCTTATTACCCCAATAGCTGTTGATGCCTTTAGTACTTCATGGAAGGAAGGGGAATTCACACAAGTATATGGCAGGAGAGGCCTGGGCTTATTAGAATTGTTTCAGCATAAATTGAGATTGCATGACATTTCTGGTTTCCATCATGCTCCTTATGCATACCAGATCATTCTCCACAAGCAGCATTCTCTGGACTCTTGACAGGCACACCTTTCTGAAAGCCAGGAACTGCAGTCCAGACACTCTCTGATCGAAGCTCAACGCAGAGCAGAGGGGCAGCACAGCCTGTACCAGGCTCCCCGAGTGAAACGAGTGTGGGTTTATCGGAATGGAGACAGACCTGACGATGGCACTTATGTCCAGGCCAGTGCTTTGTCAGAGGTAAATCTAATGTGAATATCAAGTAGGCCTGGAATCAGACATTGGCTTTGACATCTCTAGATTGGTAGATCAGACAAGTTAATGAACTTTTCTGAACCTCATTTTCGCATTTGTCCAGTGGGAATCATACTTTGCATACAAGGCTGATCAGATTATTAAACGAGCTTCCGTGTGTGAACATGAAGAAGTTTAAAGCTATCTGAGGTGTGTGCACATTCGAATAGTACAAATGGCCGGCAGAGATCATTGCCAATTGTATTTATTCCAGACCAAGACTGTAATCTAAATCACTTAAGAGAAGGTGTGGTACCTCAAGCTTCTAATCTCAGCACTTGAGAAGCAGAAGCAGGAGGATGAGGAGCTGAGGATTATTTTTAGCTACAATAGTGAATTTAAGGCCAGGTGGGGCTGAGTGGGACCCAGTTTATTTTTGATAGTTACAATAATAATTTAAAATATGTTTTCCTCATTCACATTGAATCTACCTCACAAAAGAGTTATTTGTAGCCCCTGTTGTGAATTATTTACTAGATATGTTTTTTATGGGAAAAGAACTGTAGTGCTTAAAGAAAGCCTGTAATGTTCTTATAACTCATCATCCTGAACTAACAGAATTTCCACTCCTTTATTCAAAGATAAAGTATTGGCTCAGGAGGAGACAGGCAGTGTGTCATAAACTGTAATTTGAGGGATATAAATCTAAAGTTTGACATCATCTTTAAATGTCTTAATATCTTTTAAAGTTTGCCTTCATCTTTAAGTGGAAACTTGAGGCAAGTGGGTTTACTCTTCTGAAGTCTTTTCTGCTGCAATGACTCTGCTGATAGTGCCTCACCTGCTTTATTTGGTGAAGTGTTTGCATAGCCTTTCCTGGGAGGAGAGAGATTCCCAAAAAATAATGTTGTCAAAATAACAAAGCGTGGATGGGAAAGCAAGAGGGAACAGCAGACAGGCCTAGAGAGGTGATGCTGATGAAGGCTCTGGAAAAGCAGAAGCATCTCAGCTGAGCTCAGCTCTAAGGCTGCTCCAAGCTCTAAAGGAGGGAGCCTCTCTTTGAGGATAGAACCAGGGGTGCAGCTGCGTCTCAGGTTAACCACTCGCTCTCCTGCTGCACTTGAGAAATGAGAAGAAAATGTAGAACATTCAAAGTGAGCAATAAAAGGAAAATGCTTTTGTACACCTGGAGAAGAACAGGAAGATGGTTACTTTCAAAAGACGGGTTCCTTAGGAGAGACATCGAAGTGTGGCTAAATGTTCCACTTCAAATTGATCTCTTCAGAAGCCAGAGTCAGTGCTGTAGCTGCTGCTGCTGCTGCTGCTGCTGCTGCTGCTGCTGCTGCTGCTGCTGCTACTGCTGAGAGTACTTAGCCTTGGCAATCATGTAGTAAAAGACTATGCAGGGATAGAGTGGAGCTTGGTGATAGGAGGAAAGGAGCCTATCCGACATGGTGACAAAACTTACAAGGAACTTTCCAGAGGTTATATACATGGAAGCTAGCTTTTCAATCCACAGGGCTCACACTGTAGAGTATGAAAGTCACTCCATATCTAGAGTTCCGTAGCCTTATACCGTTTCTATACACAGAAGTCATATTGCTATAAGCTGTGGATGTATCATTCTAATTTGCATCAGTGGGTAGTGTAATTGACAGGTTAACATCAATAGTAGACAACACCTGGTCCAGGATCTCATTAAATTATGATGTCAGGATGACAAAGACTTCTTACACTCATAGGGAAGTTGTTTAATGTAGATTGTTACATTACCAAACAAAACAATCCACTATGTAAAAACAAGTATATGCACTTTAATGACATTCATAACAATATTGACTACATTTGACAAGTTTTTTTAAATTATACACCATTTTCTTTGTTGCTATCCTTAATTTTTTTTCTTGGTAGTAAATTTTATTATTCTAGTCTCTTGTGCAACATTGCAACTTTTTATTTATATAAGCTAGCATAAAAAGTATTGGGTTGGATCCTTCAGGGAGTTTTTATACATTTGTGTGCCAAGCTTTGTCCTCAGTTGTTCCCCCTCCATTATCCTCTCCCACACCAGGTCCCTTCTTCCCACTCCCCCACCACTGCCCTCCTACCCTTGTCCCACTGGTCTCCTTTCTTCCCAGGAAGTCCTCTGTTTTGTTTTCCTTTCACATGTAATCCTTAGACCTCTCTAACTCGTATTTCCCTTAAATTCCAATCTATCCCTCTCCTAACCCACTTTCTAGTTCCATGACCTACAAACAGACAAATATGTATATGTATGCACATATATAACTTAAAATTTGGGTATAAGGACAAGCATGCAATATTTGTCTCCCTGAGTCTGACTTCTATACTTAATGTGATTTCCAGTTGCATCCACTATTCTGCAAATGACATGATTTCATTTTTCTTTATGGTTGCATAATATTCCATTGTGTGTATTGTATCCTCTTCATCCATTCATCTTCTGAGGGGTGGACATCCAGGCTGGTTCCATTTCATGCCTCTTGTGAATATGGATATGCTAGTACCTTGGTGGCATGCTGACTCAGTGTCTCTCAACTGTATACCTATGCCCGTATAGCTGGGTCATTTAGTTCAAATTTTCACTTTTGTGAAGAGCCTCTGTATTGATTTTCATAATGACTACACAAGGTTATATTCCCATTAGCCAGGTATAAAGGTTCCTGCCCCACTCCCATCTTTGCCAAAATCTGCTGCTATTTGTTTTCTTCATGGCAGTCATTCTGATTTCCCCGACAGTTAAGAATATAAAGTATATTTTAGAATATTTGCTGGTCATTTGCATTTTTCTTTTGATAACGTCCTGTGCAACTCATTAACTCATTTTTTGATTGAATTATTAGACCTCAGTACTGAGGTGGGTGCAGGCAGTACTTTCACAATCTCCTGAGTACCAGTCACCTACAGGAGAGACGATGCCTCGTGAATGTCGTGAAGGTCATGTATGCCCCTGGGACTTCAGAGGTCTAGTGCTCCATAGCAACAAATGACAGAGAGGTGGATCCAGAATGTAATCCACTTGCTGGCTCAGAGCTATTAAACCACAGGTTAATTCTCAAATGAGATCTGTCCCACGTCACTTGTGATGGGGGCTATCTTTCTCTATGGACTGCTCAGCTAAAGCCAGCCTCCCACCATCTGCATCTTTCAGCTTAGGAGGTATTTGCTTCCTACAACCACCCCACTAGGTGTTCCTCACCCGGGATCTCTGTCAGACCAAATCAAGGTTCCCCAGGCTGAGGACAGTCCCTGCTTTCGGGCCCACAAGGTAGCCAGGTTTTATCAATATACTCTGTTTCAAAATAGCACAAGGCCACTGTACTCTGAGTCATAGGGTGTGATACAATTGGATTGTTATCCACTGTTGACGATATCCCTCAACTAGATGTAAAGCTCGTGAAGACTTTGTGCTTGTCCTGAGGGTGAGATTGCCTCTTTCATCCGGGTTTACTTTTTGGAAACAGTTTCTGAGTCCTCTTCTTGGCCAAGGAGCTGTGCCATGGCAGCTGTGTTCAGCTTGCTCCTCTGAGTAATGATGACTTTGCTCTCTCCTGGGACCCTTTCCTTCTTTTATGGATTTTAGGAACAGCTTACCTCTGCTCACTTTTAAAAATAAAGTCTATTTTTTTTCTTAATCTCTCTTTTTCCAGCTCTCAGGGAAGTAGCCTCTAATCTGTCATCTTACTAGGCTGTCTCCTCAAGGTGATAAAGAGCATGAAAATATATCCAGACTTTAAATGGGTACAGAGAAATTGATGCTCCCATATTGATGGAAATTGAACTTTTTAGAGAATAGTTCCTTGGCTGTAAATTGTAGAAGCAAGTGCACTTCTGAATATCACCGAGACAACATATCAGACAGACTTTTGGAGAAAGAATTTGTCTTAACTCATGGTTCCGATCATAGCTGGAAGTCCATAGCTGGGAGTTCACAGCAACAAGAGCATGTTCTGTTGTTTCTCATATTTTGGTAGACAAGGAAGCAGAGAAAAAATGAGGATGGCCACGACTTCCAAAGGCCCACCTGTAGTGTCCTACCAGCAAGCATTGCCCTGCCAACCTCTTAATAGTTCTACAAACTACAGTCACCTGGATGAGAAATAGGTGTTAAAGCCCAGGAGACTGAGGGGCAACATTTCATACTCAAACCATAACATATCCCAAGAATATCTTTTATGAACTTATGCAAAGATTGTTTTCTAGAGATATTAATCACAGAAATAGTTTCACTAGAGAGAAACTAGAAATAATTTTTGAAGTTATCAGTCGGAAATTGGGTAAATGAGTTATAGCCCATAGGGTGGAATATCATAACTCAATTAAAATCAGCTTTAAGAGAGAATAAAAACAACAAATATGGCTGAGATACACTAAGTAAAATAAACGTAATCTAAAGCATGTGGAATTAGATTCTAAACACACATACATAGGTAAATTGAAAACAGCTTTGGTGGACTTGACTGGTCGAAGCATTCCCTTTGTATTGGGTCATAACATGGGTTAGTTTTATGTTTCTTTCTTGTGTGTTTGTGTGTTCTGTATATTTTTTTATGATAAATGAAGATTGTTCTTATAGGATACAGAAACCAGCCATCTTCTCAGAAAAGGACTAACAAATGTGATGTCAAGTTAGTTGAAGTTCAGTAGGGTCATCAAGGGAAGGTTTGCCTACCTGAGACAAGGGAAAAGACTACCAAGGAATCCATTGCCCCCTCTGACAGACCTTGAGAAAGGGCTACGCATCGACAGCTTCAGCAGGGATGGGATTAGGCTCCATGCAAAGGCATGAGTGTTTGAGTTGATGCAGTATTTTAAATAGATGTTGCTTACATCAAGGAATAAGGAGCGAGATTACTATTTTGAGACATTGTTTGAAAGTGACAGGCATTAGCCCACTCGGGCTGTGTTGTGGTTTTCCCTCTCAGGCTTGGTGTTTGAACACCTGGTTTCAAGCTAGTGGCACTGTTTGAGAAGACTGTAGAGCC